GGGTCTGTTGCACTCACTTGCAATATTTCGGTTCCTGGAAGAGCTGATTCCAGGATTTCTAAATGCATTTCCTTCTCCTGAAACGCAGGGGCATTATCATTAACATCCAGTACTTCCACAACAACGCTATGCAGTTGAATTGGATTTGTCATAATCATTTCCAAATTCAAGCTGCAGGGCGATGTCTGTCCACAAAGCTGCTCTCTGTCTATTCTCTCTCCCACGACCAGATTTCCTTTGTCTACATCCAGCCTAATATACTCACTGCTGTCACTGATGACAATTCGGGCACCGCCTGATTTCAGTCTTTTAGCGTCGATACCTAAATCTTCAGCCACATTTCCCACAAACGAGCCCTTCCTCATTTCCTCTGGAACAGAGTAGCGGATTTGGCAAATTGTCGCGTCGATGAGAACAACAAGGATGAAGGCATTTACTTGCCATTTAACCGTGCGAGCGATCCTGAAAGAATGCATATTTCTCAATCAATTAATCCAAGTCCACGTAGAAGAATGTCGACAAAAGGCTTTTAAACTGTCGATATCGTCCTTCTCTCTATGCAGTTGTAATCCACAGTTTGAGACCGAATATATATCCGCCTAAAATCAGTGTTGAAAATAAGCGACTGTCTTGCTCTCCTACTGTATATTTAGAAGAGTACAGAGGGTGTAAAGCTTTAAATGTGCTGTAAAGACCAACAGCGGCCCTTAGAGTCCAAAGTAAAAATAACAAGTGATGTGAACAAGGAAGGAGAAATAAACTTGTATAGAAGTAACAATTCAGGAGTGAATTAACACTAAAATGAAAACAATAGATGATACTTAAATACTTCATGTGAGAAACAGAAAAAGAGTAGTGTAGCACAGTCGTAATACAATTTGAGTCCTCTGTAAAAGAAATAAACTCAAACATATACTCTGATTACAGTAGACATCTTGAGAGTGGTTTGTAGCCGCAAGCAAAATGAATAAAACTTAAAGAAACAACGTACATACTTTAAGGAAAATCAACTTTTATAGTGTTTATAGTTTATAGTATAGTGGAAGTCAAACTAAAGAGTAATAAACTATTCCAATATAATTGACTGAACGTTAATAAAATCAGTGGATCATTAAACTAACCTCTAGAGGAGAGTCTGGTTCATCCAGGATGCTCTTTTCACTCTGTATCCGCTGCATCGTTCCTGTAGAACTGGGGTCCATTATCAGCACGTTCTGACT